GGTTATGTTTTTCCTAAAAACTTCTGGTATTTAAATTCAGGGTTTATAACTCTCTCTCTCACACACACCCCCCAAAACACATACATTAAAGTCAATCCCTGCTACACTATCTAATATTCCATACTGAGATGTCAAATCTTCTATATGCATTCTCTCCAACTAATCAAATATTTAAAATCCAGAAGACAAAAAAATTCGAAGACCAGAATAAACACCTCCACATGCTGTTCACATCACAAACTTGAGTCAAACAGCAGTGGTATGATATAGTTATTGGTCCCAATAACTTTCAAAATTCCTACTTTCTCTTTATTTTGGGGTATTATAATTGGTAATTTTTTTTTAAATAATATTATGACTAGAGAGACAATCTATTACAAGGAAGATGGTTTATCAGGGTTTCTTTTTTTTTTAAGTTGTTTATATTAGTTTAGTAATAATCCTGGGAAAGCACATCCACATAGTTTTCTTCAATTCTAGAATTACGATCAGGGTTATACAAACAACCACCTAGTAGAACTCCTCAAATTACAAAGATAAATGACTTTCTCATAACTAGAATTTATCAAGACTGGTATCAAAACAGGATCAACTATAAAAGCTAACTAGTACAGGGCTTATTAGTTTTTCTTTAAGCCAGAGATGCCTCATGTGGCACAGGTACATTATGGGATTTAGTTGCTCCACCTTAAAGGAACAACATCTTAAACATATGAAATTATTCTCATTGCAACTACAAGCTTATAAGCGATAATCAAGGAAGTTTGCGCATAATGACTAGTAGCAAAAAGTTATTTTGTAAGTTTCAGGAGTAATTTGTATACTATACATATATTTTACTATATACTTCCTTTACGTTCTATTAAATCTTTAGCTGTATAAAGGTAAAACTACACTAGAGCGTATTAGCACATTTTACCTCCCAAAACATGCATTTCCTGTTGACTTTTAAAGATAAATTTATAATGAAAAACAGTAAACCAATTAATAATAAAGAAATATTCTAATTGATAGAATAGTCACTAACAGGCTACCCAAGGAAAGTAATATATGAGAGAAAGAGAGAAAGAAGTATGTGTGTGAAGAATTTAATTGCTCTACTTTATCTGTGATGAAAATAAAACAGTCTATTTCTGGGGGAAAAAAGGAAAGCAAACATTCCTACTACTCTAAGAAAGATGCAAAAAAAGCTATAAGGGAATCAATTCCAAATACAAAAGGATCAACTTGCTATCCATCTACAACTAAAGAATTGTAGGAATAAAGTGTAAGGATACTTCCACTGAAGTAGCAGTGGAAAAAGGTTCAAGTTTTGGCTTTGCTAGTTACTGGCTATATGAATTTAGACAAAGCAAACAAAGAAGAGCCTGGCATTCAAATTTAACATTAATGTTCATTCTAGAATGGTTAAAAATTCAAAGTGTATAAAATGTAATATTATGTAATTCTCCTGAAATGTGGAAATAAATCACTTAGTGAATGAGTGAGCATAATTTCATAAACTGATAACTAAAACAATATTAAACAATTTTAATATATTAAAAAAGATGATGTGAACAACAATTTTCTTAATTTCAGAAGACAGTTAAGTCCTTAAGTAAGTTTATATTTACTATTCAGTGGTAACCAGGAATGAGAATTTATTTCAGCCACAGACTTACTGCTGAACTCTCATTTGTTACTCTATCACACTAACAGATTCACTGGATTTGGATTATTATGTTTCTAGCCCTGCAGAATAGTACAGAGTATGAACTGGACTTTATGATTTATTCAGTGGTAAACACTTTTTCATATTTGTTTACCTATTCTATTATTATGATTATCTCTATAAAATACACTGTACATCATAAATTATCTCAAGAAAAAGTTAACTAGGTCTTCTAGTCTTCTATGTCCAAATGGTATGGGTTTCATCAATGATGAAGTTTTTTCCTTTGGTGCCAACAAATTTAATAACTCCATCTAACTTCAAGAGTTTTAATTGAAGGGAGAGTGAAAGTCACCTTTGGTAATGCAGGAGGTATACTGGGCTCCAAATCTAAACCCTAATCTGATGTAGGTCACATGATTAATTCCTGCACAGGTTACATGGACATCAAATACTCACAGATCAGATCCAGCCTATGGTAAAAACTATATAGTTAGATGTTTGTTTTTTTTAAGTTGTTTATATTAGTTTAGTAATGTCGGCGTATGGTTCATGTTGGCTTAAGATAGAGGTGGTAACACCTTTTCTTTCAACCCAAGCTTGTTCTCTATGTGTTAAAAGTGTCCAATCTACTTGTGTTTTAGAAACCAGAATAACCTATTTTTAATGACCTACTTTCCAACTGTGCTTTAGAATGCCAAATAACTTATTTTTAACACATGTAACTGAATGCCTTTTATTCTTAAACTGTATAACTCAAAAATTAATATCCAGTGGAAATCAGACTACTACTACTAATTTGTACTCTAAGGTGACACTACTTACTCAATTTTGTGCTCTGTGTACTACTAGCAACTTTCTTCATAATGCATTCATTCTTCTCAACCAAAAAAGTCAGAAGTAAATGTGAGAATTCAAAGCATGAGAGTATATTTCAGCATTAATTCATCAATTCTTCCAAAATATTCCATGATAGAGATCAAAGAAAAGTAATGTTGTAAATTGGTTAAGAAGAAGATAAAGTTAGAAATCTAAAACTGCTCAGTAAATTTGATAAAAGCTGAAAAAATAAAACAGGAAAAGGATTATGGAAGGGACAATTATTAGACTGAGTAAATACAAAAATGGAGAAGTCAAACACTGGGAAAAAAGATAATACGGAAGTTAGAAGAGAAGGTGTAGTAAACTAGAAAAGCTTACAACTGTTTATATAATATCTAGAAATTTAAGTATATGTACCCTACTTTATAAAATAGAAATGTTTCAGAGAAATATTTTCAATGTACCAGGAAAGCTTTAAAATCAACCAACCACCCACCAATCAAAAAATAAAAACAAACTGTCCTCTGAATCCTTTAAAGTATTTCTGTGATACAAATAGCCGATTCCTAATTTAACTGCTTTATCATTTCAGATTTTATAACAGGTATCCGTAAGACATGTAAAACTCATCATTAGAAAGAGTAATCTGAAATTTACTATTATGTGTGAAAATAATAACCCTCCAGTTGACTATACACTTTAGTATCCCATTATCATGAAAGGCTGGTCAGAAAATAACTGATAAACCTTTCTTTATATGGAACATCAAACACAGGTCTCTATCAAAATAGCTTACATGGGCAGACAAATACTTGTACTAATTCTGAACTACAAAATCACCACTTCCCTTCTATAGTCCCGTTACAACTCCATCGGTTACAAAACAGACTGAAGTTGTCTACTTATATCAAAGAACAAGAGAAATATCAATAATTACAACAGAACAGAATATAAAACAGAACAAAACATCAGAATAAATTCATTTTAGAATTTACTGTTCAAGTAGTTAGGCTGAAGCTTTTCTGAGCAGGGGCACAGTAAAGAACACATACAAATCACACATATATATATGTGTCTACATATACGCACATATACACATATGTGAGGTGAAAGTCGCTCAGTTGTGTCCGACTCTTTGTGACCCCATGGCTCCTCTGTTCATGGAATTCTACAGGCAAGAATACTGGAGTGGGTTGCCATTCCCTTCTCCAATATACAAATATGTATATATATATATATATAAAATATATATTTTTTTCTGTTCCCTGTAACTAAATGGCAGGAATTTGAAGCATGTTGACAGCATTCCAAAATAGTTTAGTTGCTTAGTCGTGTCCGACTCTTTGTGACCCCATGGACTGTAGCCTACCAGGCTCCTCTGTCCAAGGGATTTTCCAGGCAAGAGTACTGGAGTGGGTTGCCATTTCCTTCTCCAGGGGATCTTCCCGACCCAGGGATTGAACCCATGTCTCCACATTGTAGGCAGATGCTTTACCATCTGAGCCACCAGGGAAGTCCTATTCAAAAAATAAGAACATCTATAATGAGATGGTGGCTGCTACAAGAATGGGTTTCTCTGACCTACCTCACCCTACCTCAGGGAGATGACTTGATAGATACTATCTTCATTTAGTTCATTTAGTTTTAGCTATTACTCAGCCTATTTAACAATGTAAGTAATGTGATAAGCAGACCACAGAATTTAAAAACTGGGTCAAAGAAAAAGAATTTTATAGGTGTCAGTAATTTCATTTTGAGGGGGAAAATCTATTATTTCTCTGAAATGGTTTGAATTAAAAATACGAGCTAAAAACAATGAACTGAATACAATTTCAGAGTTTACAAACAAGTACATAGCTTTACATTATAAAAACTTACTAACATATAGCAATGTTTTTCTGAATTATATCATTTCATATTATTACCAATGATCAGGCTCTTCTAAATTTGCCAATGTAAATATTTTAACTGAAACATTTAATCAGGTATTTGGTAACTTTAAAGTTAAGTCAAAGAAACCTGTTATTAATTTACAATTGTTTCAATTTGTTATGAAATGGACACAACAACATAGAATCTTATATTTTATCTTAAAAATAAAGCTTTAAAAAAAAAAAACCAGATAGCATTTAACAGTAGTCTTAAGAACCTGGAGTTCTGTCCCGGATCATTCCTCCACTAAAGGGACAAGGGTTTTTGTTTTTTAACTTTTTGACCACATGCGTCATGTGGGATCTTAGTCCCCAGACCAGGGACCAAATCAGCATCCCCCTGCATTGAGAAGTCCCAGGGACACGGTATTATCAGTATCTGAAATGTCTGTAAATTACCACAAGGTAAAAGAATGTTATTTTAATATACTCAACATAAAAATGCAACTTTTATGCCCCTCTTTTATTTTTTTGGTTTAAAATTTTAAATTTGGGTCCTTTTTCTCTTTAAATTTTGCCTTCTTTAATAAGAAACGTATAACACAACTTTCTACAACCTCTGGTAAAATAAAATGGCCAGCATATGCTTCACGTACCTTTTTGAGATGTCCTAGTCTAAGTTTGAAAATTTCTTCCTGTTCATGATATTCTGCCAAAGTCAACCTGTCAAAATGAAATTGTAATTCTAGATATTAAGATTAATACTTATTATTTATTAACAACCAGCAAAATAAAATTAATCAAATAAAATTACTAAAATGTTGACAACTTTCAGCCCCAAATACATAAGCCTAAAGTGCTTGAAGGTATTCAGAGTATATCTAATACAGATGGAAAACTTGACTGACTTATAAATTCATCAACTATTTAATGAGTACCATGAATTTAGATCCTAAGGATGCAATGAAAAAGTTTCTCAATACACTCTGGTTTGAACTTACACTTCGTAGTGGGAGTATAGGGGGTAAGGAAGCAGAAGAGAAACAATTTAGTCCAGAAATGAAACAATCCCAAATAACAGTAAGTGTTATAAAGAGAATTAGAAAGGCTGGTGTGATAATAACTGTGTTAAACTAATCTGCACCGAGTTTTAGGGAGACAGTCTCGATCTTAATGTCAAAAGGACAGCCACAAGAGGACACAGGGGAGTATGTTCTAGACACAGGTTAAAGCAGGTACAAAGACACCAAGATAGAAATAGACTGATACTGAGAAGAGAAAAAAAAACGCAAGTATCAGAATATAGTCAAAGAGGCTGTCAGCAAAAGAAATAAAGCAGGGGAACAGCATCTAAAAGCAGGATGGATTTTAGACCAAGGAATGAATTTCATTTTACTTTAAGAGTACTGGGAAATAACTGCAAAGGTAATCAGTCCAATTCGGGCACTGGTTTAAGAAAGAAAGAAACAAAGATATTTTTCTCTTCTCTGCTTCCATGTGTTAGTGAATAAGTGAGATAGGGTTGCCAAAAACCACCAAATTTTTAATAAATATAAATAGATACACACATGAGAGTACTTTATGGTTGTTTTATTATTAATTTCAAATATTCTTCTGTAAATTAGAAAAGATCACTGCAGCTGACCCTTGAATAACAAGGGTTTGAATTGCACAGGTCCATGTACATGAAGATTTTAAAAATAAATACATATTTCAGTGCACTATATAGTCTGGAGCTGGCTGACTCTGTGGATGTGGAATTGCAGATATAGAGGCCAGCTGTGAAGTTATATGCAAATTTTCAACTGTAGGGAGGGTTAGAGCCCCAAACCCTCATGTTGTTTAGGGTTCAACTGTAGTTTAATGTAGAATTTTAGTAAAATATAGACCTATTATAATATTTCCTAAGAAAACATGGTTCTGTATCATTAAAGTGAAAGAGGAAAGCACACACACACACCAAAACAACGTCCATCTCATCCCCAGTGCTGAAAGGACTGCTTTTATCTGTCATACTTGGGCCCTTGTTTACTTATGTATTCTGGGTCTATTTGGTTAAGCTCCAAACCCCAAGTACGATTTATTTATGCTTGGTTTACATCCCTCAGCAACATTCAGTATAAATGCTGTTTCCCTTAAGCTAGATGCTAATTAAAACATTAATATCATAGAAAGGGCATTCAAATGAAATAATCAAAAACCTCCAAGAAATTCAGTTAGTATTCCACTAGAAATATCTTAAGAGTGAAAAACAAACATTTAAAATTAACTCTCTATACCCAGTCTTAGGTTAACATAACCACCAGATTTTATTATACTGAATATAGCAATATAGTTGCAGCAGTTGCTTAACATAAATTTAGAGAACTAAACACTGCACTGTGAATATGAAACATTCATGCAGACAGAATGAAACAAGAAGAAGGAAACCTGGTTATTTTTTTTAAAAAAGAGGTTTGGAAACTAAAACTGGTAATATCTCAACTAGTTCAGTAAAGTAAAGCCACAGGAATTTTGGCAAATAGTTTCCGGATATGCATATATGCCATCAATGGAAATTACCTGTATAACAATATAGTAATTTACTATTCTTAAAGTAAGGTTTTAGGCCCACCAGTAGACCATAGGATGGGCTCAGAGCTAATTTTTTAAATATGTAAATATTTTGTTTGTTTCTGTACAGGAATAAAATACAATTCTATACTTTATTGAGTTAAAATATAGCTTAATTTTAAATATGTAAATATTTTGTTTGTTTCTGTACAGGAATAAAATACAATTCTATACTTTACTGAGTTAAAATACAGCTAAATTTAGTGTTCATAAGGTAAAATTAGTATGGCTAATTTAGTTTCCTAAAATTTTTGACTGTCGTAAGTTGGCAGTAGTTTTCAATAGCTATTGTTCTTCTGAGTTAATAATAAATCAATGTCAATTAGTTCCATGGTGTCTTAGTCTGTTGAATACTGTATGGTTAATCTTATATATTTTATAATGTAATGCATATTGGCTATTAACTAGCATTCAGTTCCAGTTGTTAATATGTTTGTGCTGTGGCTCAAATATACATCATCTGCATCCCTTTAATTAAAGCAAATACACACAAATAGTCCCTTCCCTGAATTTAGTTAGTATAATGATACCTCATTGATTTCAAAAGGGTTGACCTCAGAGCATTATTTTATAGGTCTAATCCTAATATGAAACACATGCAGTTCTCACTCAAGATTAATGGTAACCCTCAGCAGCAACAGTACTTTGCTATTTCTTTACTGCATTTGATTACTACCATTATAAAGCTTCAAATAAACAGCAAAATATAGACATACTAATTTCTCTCTGCTGGGTTTTGAAGGATCAATAAGCAAATGTACAGACCGTACTAAATACTAGGCTACTGACTTTCTTGGACAGTAATTCTTACCGTTTTATGATCATGGTATTTAATTTCACATATATGTAACTTTGTAGTTCAAACATAGCAGTTTAAGAATTCCTATTCCTGTCTCACAAAATAGAATGCAAATCACCAAACAGCAAAAGACTTTTCTTACATTACTTTGCACTTCCTTATCAGAAAGCACCTGACATATATTAGCACTTTATAAAGTGAAAAGTGAAGTCGCTCAGTTGTGTCCGACTCTTTGCGACCCCACGGGCCATATTAGCACTGTAGATATCTGGTATTTATTTCCATTGATGAAAAATACTTAGATAAAATTTAAATGTATTTAGATAAAATTAATTGGGGACAATCTTACTTAAAGAAACTGGATTTTATTTTATATATGGAAAGAGGTAACCTAGGAAAATACTAATTTTGATGACTTAATTGCCACATTAAATAATTTTATGATGTGATTTATAAGATGCTTAAAAAACATCCACCCTCTTAAGCAAGTCTATTGCTTAAATTACTTAGCAAATCTCTTATTCATAGAGTGCAAAGAAAAGTCCAATCTCCCTTTATGAATCATATCTCATATTATAGATTGAATATTAATTTTTATTACACATTTATTTAGGAGATGCTAAAAATCATAAATAAAACTGTTCAGTAGGTTAACACAAAATTATTCAAAAAGCCAAGAAATTTAAAACTCAAACGTAAAATTTAACCACTGATAATCTTTCACAGTGAGTATGAATGAATAAAGCAAGCTGAGCGCCAAAGAATTGATGCTTTTGAACTGTGGTGTTGGAGAAAACTCTTGAGAATCCCTTGGACTGCCAGAAGATCCAACCAGTCCATCCTAAAGGAGATCAGTCCTGCGTGTTCACTGGAAAGACTGATGTTGAAGCTGAAACTCCAACACTCTGGCCACCTGATGCAAAGAGCTGACTCATTTGAAAAGATCCTAATGCTGGGAAAGATTGAGGGCAGGAGGAGAAGGGGACGACAGATGATGAGATGGTTGGATGGCATCACCAACTCAATGGACATAAGTTTGGGTGAACTCCGGGAGTTGGTGATGGACAAGGAGGCCTGTCGTGCTGCAGTTCATGGGGTTTCAAGTCCGACTCACTCGAGTTGGACTCAACTGAGTGACTGAATTGAACTGAACTGAATGAATGAATGAATGAGAATTTTATTTTTAATTCAAAAATTGTTTTCCAAGAGTTTAACAGAAATGTAAGATATCTGCATAAAACAGAGAATATGCATTTCAAAGACACTGATATCCAATTCTTTAAGGGTATTCTGTTTAAGCAGGAAACTAATCTGAAGTCTCAAGTTAAGGAATACAAGATCTGGTAAATAGAATGTTAAAGGCACTTAAGACAAAAAAATATCAAGCCAGTTTTTTTGGTACAATTTAGCAAACTTTTACAGAATACTGAACTAAGCTGCACATTGAGAAGTAGACTTTTTTAAATGAGCAAGGAAGTAGGTGAGACTACTCTGCTTTTGAAGAGCCCTAAAAAAAAAAAACTAGAAATAGAAAAAAAAAATTTCCTTAACATGATAAAGGGCATTTATTTAAAAAACCATAACTAACATCACACTCAATGGTGAAAGAGTAAAAACTTTCCCCTTAAGGCCAGGAACAAGACAAGAACACTTTCACCACTGCTGTTCAATATTGTAGTGAAGTCCTCTCAGAGGACTTAAGGAAAAAAACACACTGAAATTGGAAAGGAAGAAGTAAAACTATTTCTAGTCACAGATGACTTAACTCTACATGTAGAAAATCTCTAAAAATGAACAAGAGGTAATAAATTCAGGAAAATTGCAGGGCATGAGATCAACACACAAAAATCAAATGTGTTTGTATACATCAGCAATGAACAATGTAAAAAAGATACTAAGAATACAATTCAGTTAATAATAGAACCCAAAACAATAATATACATAGGATCAAATTATTCACGAAGTGACTCGGATGCTAAAAACTACAAAATATTGCTGAAGAAATGAAAGCATACTAATTAAATGAAAGAACATCAGTACTCACGTCCTTAAGATTAGCAGACTTACTATTGTTAAGAGGGCAATTCTTCCCCAAAGTGACTCACAGACCCAATATAATCCTGATTAAAATACGTATCACCCATTTTGTTGAAACAGGAAAGCTGATTCTTTATTAAAATGCAATGTGCAAGGGTCCTCAAACAAAACAACATTGAAAAAGAAGGACTCATACTTCCTATTTCAAAAATTAACACAGCTATGGTCATCAAAAGAGTGTGGTACTGCCATAAGGACAGACATCTACTGTATG